CACACACACACACACACACACACACACACACACACACACACAGTACCTTTGCATTGAGCCTTCAGCTGATCCTTCCATCCACACTCCACCAGCTTGGCCCTGAGCAACTCTTTCAACCTGCGGCCACACATTGATTAAACATCACATCACATTACACACGCGCGGTGAACGAACAGTGACACGACAGAAGCTGAGGATCCTCCACAGACACAGACTCACCGCTCCCGCTCCCCCATCTCTATCAGCTTCTGGTTGATCGCAGCCCTCATCTGTGAGTCTTTGCTCATGGTCCGTTCAAACACAAATGGCGGCCGGTGTCGGTTCAGCTGCGACGAGCCGAAGAAAAAACCCAGGGAACTGTTGTTTCGTCCAGGGAACAGTCAGAGAGACGCCGCCTTCACTAGTCGGGATGGATCAGCTGGGGGACACACTGTCCATTCGCGCGAGCGGACCGTGTGAAAACAATCGCGCGTCGATGGTTCCGCTTTTGGCCGCGGTGGCATCGCTTCAAACCAGAAACCGATTAACTGCGATGAATCTGGATTAATAACGAGTTTAATCTTATTTCGTTGTGGTTTTTTTGTTCGTAAAGGTTAAAATAATAATTAATATTGAAGGGGGAGGAACCCCACTTCCCACGAGCAGGTCGAGTCCGCTGGGGAAATGGCTCCGTGTTGCACAAGCTGGTAAACAGCGTGTGTCCCGTCTCGTTCCCCGCTTCCTGTCCCGCCGCTCACCTGGGGACCAGCCGGCTCGTGCTCATCAGACATGGCCGCCTCTAACTACTCCCTGAGAGTCAACAGAGAGCTGCTGGACCCCAGCTTCGAAAGCTACAGGTTGTCCCTGGACGCCATCCCCACCTACAACGTGGAGCTGGATGCTGGTGAGAGAAACTCAGAGCACAGCTAGCGCGAGTGCTAGCTTAGCCCTGGTGCCAGACGTGACCGATTTAAAGGTCCAGCGTGGAAGATTGAGGTGAAAGGGAACTATCGGGAGACATTTTAATGTGGAATAATCCTCATGGTGTTTTCAGGAGTTCGTTTCATCTAAATTATATGAATTGTAGTTTCCTTTACCCCAGAAAAGGCCCTTTATATTTAAATACTTTATATTTACATGGAGTGGACCCTCTCTATGGAGGCCGCCATGTTTTTTTACAGTCCACCAGACCGGACAAACTAAACACCTTTGGAGTTTTTATGACAACTGAAGCTACCACAGGTTCTCTGTCATGTTTGGAAGTGGAGGGTGAGGTGAGGGGTGTTCAGCTGCAACGTGAAACTTCAACACCAGATATCACAAAATTCTACACACTGTACCTTTAATGAAATACACACATGTTAACAGTATGTTGATGAACATGTGTAAAGTAACATGGAGACGCATGTAGCTGGAGCCAGTGGATTTAAAATGAGGTGGACTGATGAAGGGGTCCCTAATAAAATGACCTGCTATGTTTACTTCATTAATCAATTAGTCAATGTGCAGTATTTTGAGTGGAAGCTATATCGATAGTATATTGAATATTTTGTGTTTCCAGCCTTATTGAAGTTCCTCTTTGTAAAAAATATTCAAATTTTCAGTCTTACTGACGTCTCACAGAGAAAACTGGTTTATTGTTTTAATTGTTTAAACTATCTTCAGACTAACTGATAATGACAATAATCATTAGTTGCAGCCTTAGATTGAAATCTCTGCCAATTATTGAAATAATGATTCAGATTTAGACAACCTTATTGATCCCAAGGACGACAATTCATCGATCCAATATGATACGTGTCAACAAACAAACCAACGTCAGCAGCACATCTAGATAATGATCATAATGCAAATATATAGTACTGTATATATACAGTGTACATAACTTACATTGCTCAGTGAAGAACTTTATCAACCCCAGTGTCTTTGGCTTCACCACACAACATTAAAAACAACACAACACAAGACAAGCACATAAAGCTGGTGATAACAAAAGAATGCTCACTTATAACATTGTGCATCTCTGTTTTGTATAAAAAACGGTTTCACTTATTGTAGGTTCAAATGTTGTTGACTAAAAACTGATGTCTTATCTAACATGATACTTTTTCATTTGCATCCCAGTTGTGGAGGAAGTTAAGCTGAAGGATACTCAGTACACCCTGGAACACATGCGTGCCTTTGGCATGTACAATTACCTGCACTTAGATCCCTGGTATGAAGACAGCGTTTTGTTTGTGGACTGCAAAGGACGAGTTCTCAGTCTCACCGTCACTCTGGTAAGCTTCTAAATGCTCCCGGTTTTTCTTGATGGACCTTGTTCCTTGTAGGTATTTGACATATTTGTGTTGCAGCAACATGTGCGTGTATGTATTTTTAGTTTGTTGTTGTCACTATGGCCTTCAATATCCGTAAGGCAAATTCCTTTGTAGTCATTGTTCATGTCAAATGAAATGGTTATGAGTGTGATGTTGTGGGAATATTGGTGCATCCGATGCACCAGTAGGTGGTGATCAAATACTTGTGAAACAGCAGCATCAGCCAACAATGTATTTCTGGCAGGTGTTGTCAAGAGAATTAGTCTATTATCTATATCTATTATTAACAAGCCAAATTATAATTTCAAAAGCTCTTCCATTAATGAGGCTCATTAAAATCTACCTTACTTAGAATGTTCTTGCTTGAGATCATTTCAAGACTGAGAACATTTAAAAAGAAAATCCTTTGTTCATCGTATGAATTTAGCACAGTGATAAAGTTTTGGATGAGCCGTCTGTGGGTAATCACAGTGTTATGTGCATAAATGACTCTAAGTATTGATCCAGCTTTGTTACCCAGCACCAAGACACTGAGACGAGGAGCAAAATCAGCCCAATGACCTTTTCAACTGAGATCTCCTTAATGTCTAAGACATTAGCGGCCATGATTAGAGATAATTGGTGTCACTTTGGTGTCTAAACTGGCCTGAATAATGGTCATCAGACTATAATCCTGTCCGGCTTTCAGTGGCGTCATTAAATGACTCTTTATGGAAATGTGTTGCTCAAATTCTAATTACAATCATCACATGGTAATTATCGTCCCTGGCAGGGCCCTTTGTGTACATTTGTGGGGAAGTGTCACCTTGCACATTGTGCAGATGTGGATCGCTCTCTCTTTGGGCACTAACGGCAGCGATGGTGGAGAAAATGATCTCAAAGGTTGCATGATACATTACGGGCCGATATAATACACAGTGTCATGCACCATGGCAACAGCACGGCAGCTGCTGTACAGTCCTTTTGATACACTGTTATTTCACGCTGTGAGTAATTGATGCTCATGTGGTGGCATATCTGTCTATTACTAAGACCGAGAGTCGTGAATCACTGCCAGGTCACATGGGCGGCCACATGACAGTTGGTAACTTCTTCTCTTTGTGATGAGTCCATGTTGTTGAGGGTGTATGTTGTAGGAATCATCCTGCTGCTATTTTATAAAAACAACATTATGGTAATCATCTTCCACTCAGTGTTTCTCATTTCAGGTTTTAATCGCAGAGTTTTTCTTTTGGGATTAAAGTGCCTGGTTTGAAATGAAGGAAGAAGTTCAAAGCTGCTCTGATGAAGTGTCTCTATTGGAGTCTTAGTGAGTCTTGACTGGACTGTTTAAAGAAAGTCATTTGGTTGGATGGGAGCTGTAACAGATACATGTCACCCATTCTACATTAGTCTGCAAATATGTTAGGGAAGTTTTGTGTGTTTCTTGGCTAGTTAGATGACACATAAACAAACTTTTGGTGCAGGGACGAGGTATGAGTCAGGGAAGAACTCATTCGATTCTGGTGCAGCTCTTAACCATTGTGAGAGTATTTTTCAACATTTTCTCAGTTTTTTCACAGAATTATGAAATTTGGTGCAGCTTGATTGTGCAGACTGAGTGTTGGGCCGTGGCTGACTGACATGTGTGTTGTAAATCCAGGACACTGCCCTCGGGAAGCCGAGAGAGATCTTCTGTACGACCGCTGAATCAAGCGAGTGTGAGAATCGTCTCTGTGCCTCCCTCAGCTTTACCTCCGCGACCTGGGCTGCTCTCTCTGACGGCACCGGCCGACTCTACCTCCTCCGCACCGGCAAGAGAGGAGATGGTTCCCATTCGAAGTGGGAAGTGAGTACATTAGCAAAAGACACTGTTTTAAATAGTTTTGTGTGTTTGTATTATATAGAAATCTACCATAGAAAATAAAGTATATCAGAAGTGATAATTCATTACCTTTTAGTGACCTCTGACTTAACTCTCTCAAAAATCCAAAGGCAAGTAGCCAAACAGACATTCTGTCTGAGGCATGTCTCCGTGTAATCCTGTAATAGCAGTGCTGGTTGTCAACTGCTTTATTTGTTTGACACCATAATTTGATAGCAGTGTTCTTGTAATGCCATTTGCTCATTCCTGAGCACTGGGGGGAATGTGCAGGTGTTTTGAATGTCAATGAATGTCTACAAACATAGTTACAAAGAGTAAATTATGTTCTTGTATCGGAAGAGTCCAATTATTCTACAGAAAAAAACCTCAAAAGCGTTTTTGGACAGTTATGTAAATTCAAGCCTCAGAAGCAGTTTGAGAAAAAAGCTCAGACGGCCGTTGGTAATTGGCTTGTAGTAGTGAGGAATGTTTTTTATAGGACGGGTCTTTGTGCACTTTATCCTGTTAACAAGCAGGCAATGGGGATTGGTTACAACTGAGAGTTCACTCCTGTGAACAAGCACACTCCATGTTATTCTAAAAGCCAAGTTCAAGACTGGAATTCGTAATGAAGATTTAATTAGTATTTGAATTTGTAATGAAGATTTAAGCCACTCTGCCTCCACACGAGCTTTTCTTCATTTTATTTCGGCATTTTCTCATATTTTCCCCATTATCAACAGTAATCCTGCAAAAAATGACTGTATTTGCTGCGTCTGTGTCTGTAGCCACTGTTCAGTGAAGACCTGGGGGAACCTTTCACCATCCTCCACAGTGTCTCACATGTCCAGGCTGGACTCCACTCCATGGAGGTCCTGCTGCTCCGCATCCAGAAAGACCTGCAGGACACCAAGGGAAGTGGATACTCGGTGTCTCTGGAGTGGCTCACAGTCGCCAACGCTGCAGCACAGGGTGGGTGGTGCAGTGTTTATAAGAAAAGTCTGACATAAACAGTTCTGAGTCAGGGTATAAATGTCTGTACTTATCTTACTTTTGGGTATTTTCATTGTTTTTATATCGAGTAGAACACAAATATCCTCATTAATTAATAAATTAACACATGGAAGGAAGTAAGTTTGACTTTAATTATCATGTCCCACATGAGATTAGTGTAAGCAAACATTGGTGAGAAGGATTTTCATTGAAGTTCTGAGCACGTGGTGCTAAAGACGGACACTCTGACTAATGAGTCAAAGATGAAGTAGACAAATACAAAAACAGAAGCAGCCTTTTGAGACTCCCCTCCTCATTTAGTCAGATTTAAAGATGCAGCATTTTGATTTCTGCGAGCCGGAGAAACCTCTTTTGTTTATTGTCTCAATAATATACAAAAAAAATGGTGTAAAAAAATAAACTACTGTCAGGGTAAAATCCTCTCAAGTGGTATATGAGCTTTAGTAACAATAACTTCAAAAGATCGTGCTATAGCACAGTTTGATTTATAGAACATTTGATTTATAAAACAGACGCACATTATGCACAACTTGATTTCATTTGAGAAGCAAAATCCTAAACACAGTATTTTCATAAAAGCTGATATGATGGGTAGATTTTGTTCATTGAGACAATTCCTGTGAAAAGCTGTATGAAGATAGAATAAAAATTCATATATTGACTGGAAGGCAGTTAAAACCTTTGCTCATTGTGTAAGGAGTGATGGGAATCCAGTGAAATAACTCTGACATGAGGGTTGATGCTGTTTCTCCTGCTCACTGTCAGAGTTTAATAGAAAACAAAATTACATTCCTGGTTCTCATAACCGTATCATTTGGTTTCCACATGCAGGTCAGGAGAAGAAGTATGAGGTGAGGAAGAGGAGAGTCCTTCGGGGGAAGTCGGTGCCTCACTACGCAGCTGTGGAGCCGCAGGGGAAGGGACTCATGGTGGCCTCGGAAAAACCGTTTGTCTTCACGCACGTGGACGGTTGTGCTGTGGAGCAGAACGACTCGGAGCCCATGGAGGTGGAGAAGACAGGTGGGTCAGAGGTGCTTCTGGGAAATACTGCCAGTCAGTACAATAGTAGAAAGTTATTAGTGTGATTAAAGACGAAACAGCTCAGCCACATATTTTTAAATAATTGTTATCTACTACTACCTGTTGTTTTTCCATGTTAGAGATAACAGCAGATAACTGTGTTTTTAAAATACTACTATACTTCTTCCTGAGCATTCTGTCCGCGTTCTGGGGGTTTTAGAGAATATCCAGAAATAATATATATGTAATATATATAAATATTTTATTGTGTGAATTGCTTTTTAGCCAAATTAGTCATTTTACAGCTGCAGAAATACTTTGTCCTTTTATCAAATGAGGCGAAAGGATCAAGAACATGACAAAGAGTCATTACTAGTTTAATGTTATGCGTCAGTAAAATTTCAGAAATCAGAGTTTATTGCTCGTGGAACGAGAGAGTTTTTACTTTTATTGCACAGTCGTAAATCTCCCGGCCTGAAGGAAGGGTTTCAAACTAACAACTGTGACTCAGCAGATTCCATATCAAGTAATCAAAGAGAAGCTTCCATATGATTCACTTCCTTCACCAGCTGGTGGGGAACTTTGTGCACTGGGCTGGTTCTATGTTACAAATCTTCATTTGTGTTGTTGTTATTATATAAAATACTGATGAGTTGATTTTAATGTGACCAGTGACCTAATGCACAAAAAAAACGCACTGCGCCATGATAAAAATACACCTACGCTCACAGGAACACTTGAACTCCAATTTCACGCATGAGTTTTAAGAACACTTGTACTCACAGTGTTGTTCGAGCTTTTGCAAATAATTAAATTCTGCTATTTTTGCTTCACCATCATTTGTAATGAAATGAAATTTCCTCGTACAGTTGCATTTGCTTGTTTTTCCATCAAGCTACATTTACTTCTGCTTATTACCTGGGAGAGGTCGAGAAGACAATTCGTCATAGAAACGCCTCAGGAGAAGGTTATCAATAAACTACTGATAATGATTTTGACAAGAGAAGACATCGAGGGCTTCTTTCAGGAGTAATGATGCTTTGTTTCACAGCTACACTGGATTCTTGTCTTGGCTCTGAAACTCTATAACCACATCACAGAGATGTTTGTCTCACCAACACAACTTTTCTACACAAAATGTTCAGTGACTGTCTGAACAAAAGAAACCTGAACGTTCATATGCAACTGGTTTTTATCCCTTTTTGCAGCTTTTGCACTCAGACATGGCAGCGTGTGTGTGTGTGTGTGTGTGTGTGTGTCAGTCACCGGTGCAGAAGCAGAATAATGGTGGCTTTTTAGCCAATCCTTTTATCAGCGCTCTGCCTCTCTCCTTTTAAAGAGGAAGAAGTGGATTAGATGGTGAGAGAAGAGACTTCTTCAAAGACACTTGGAAGTAATGAGGGAGGAAATGCTAAGGAGGCCGGGCAGATGGAGGTGACTTGATGCTGTGCTGTGCAGGAGAAGTGCAGATATCCACATAAAATACTGTATGGATCCAAATAAACGGTTGGAAAAGCAAATAAAAAACTGTCACGATGGATCATTCATACAAGTGGATGGTTTGAAAATACATGTCTGTTCAAACCGACAAGTTTAAAAGAGCTGAACTCCGGAGAAAGCAGAATAATATTGGGAACTGAAGTGAAAAGAAAATTTGGCAGTTCACGTCTCTCCTTCTCATTAGGTTCTTTGTTGATTCAATCGAAAAACAAAAGGTGATAATGAACACGTCTCCGTTCCTCACGTTCCTGCCAGATATGGATCGGGTCTCATCACAACTGGACCGGTTTAGTGCTCAGGCTTTGCCAGTAATCACAGAGTGTTGTCGATACAGTTCACACACACAGATCTCTCCAGAGGTTGTAGAAGAGGAAATTGGTAAAGAGTCGTCTGTATATGAAGATTAAACTGATTCAGCACAGACTTTACTCTCTCTCCTCTATCATAATATGCTTCATCATTCTTTTTAACTTTAAAAGTTTGCTCTAACACTAGCCTGAATTTAAAAAGTTTCTTTAACTTATTGCTGACTGTGTTTTTACTCTTTTTAGAATTAGAGCACAACAGGATTTTTTCAGACTGAATGCAAAAAGTGTGAATGATCCTCAGCCGCCTCTCACGTCTGTAGTTTGCATTAAAGTCCTTCAGCTTTTCTTAGCTGGTGTGATCTCTCTTAGAAAATATTAAGCTGATTGTTCCTGATTTAAATTTGGTGTTTCCTGCACTGTTGAGCTACGGTCACTGTGCTTTGCTCCTCTTGAAATTTTGAGCAGCTACTTTTCATCCTATAGGCCAAAACCCCAGAAGCTGTAGCCTGAAAGAAAATAATGCATGAATCTCCCTTCAGATCAGAAATGGATGAAAAGGGCTTTGTTGATAAAAGATGGACTCAATGGGACTAAACTTTATAAATATTTATCAGAGAACAACCTTTCTCCTGTTCAGAGGAAGCAGACATGCAGCCACTGTATTTGTGATTTAAGTTTTCAAGTGCCACCTGAACTGTCCCTCAATTTATTAAACTGCAGTTATGGACTTCCTACGAAAACCCACCTTCTCCAATGCTGCTCAAGCTTTTCAAATTCTTTGAGTTATTATTTATTTCTCTCGGACTCGAAACACTCATGCAGAAGTCACTGACGACGATGGCGGACGTACGTGCCATGCAGATTTTAATTCCAGCTGATGAGAAATAGCCCTGTTTACCATCGCAATGTTGAGCGATGCTTTTAATGAAAATCTCCAGTCAGCACCTGGACTGGATCCACGTCGAAACCAGCTAATGTGTTTCTTGGCCTGTGGCCCGAACATGGCTCTAAATTTGATTGAAATGTTTTAAGTGGTGTTGGAGAGCTCGTTCTCACCAGCAGGTAAACACTGAATCACAGAAGGTCATGGGTTCGTTCTCAGCAGAGGCAACAAGGAAAAAAAAAAAAAAACGAATCAATGATTTGTTACAGCGGCTGTGAGATCCATTAAACTGTGTCACATTTACAGTTATTTAGTGTTTTTGTAATAGACTTCCATCTGCTGTAGAGTTGTCTGTATGTTTACTGATTTAAAAATGTTTATTTCCTTAATGCAAGTTTTATATATTTGGTTTTATTAGATAAAATGTAAAATATTATTATTATTATTAATATCATGAGGGTTTCAATGACGTCTTAAGAATCATTGCCACTTTTTGTAATGTGCATATTAGATGATACATGGAACATTTTCCAATTCCCTAATATCTGCATCTGCTGAAGATTCAACTGTATTTCCATTTAATTCTTCGTGTTATTAGATGTTTTATGTGTGACTCAGTCACAGCTGGTGCAGGTCTGTCTTTAACTTAATCATCATACATTTCTCTCCCATTTGAACTCAGATCCCATTTACTTCTGGCAGCAGACCGGGGAGGACATCACGGTGTGTGTGCGAACGCCCGAGGGCGTCACCAAAGAGGAGGTGCAGTTCACACTGACGGCGGACAACATCAGCATCGGAGTCCAGGGTTTCTCTCCTTTACTGGAGGGCCAGATGTTTGCATCTGTTGACCCTGAAGCCAGCGCCTGGATCATCAGAGACGACAAAAGGTTCGCAGCCTGGACTCTACACAGTTGTTGTTCTTGAGTTGTTCTTTGTTTGCAGCAGTGACAAAGGAAACCTCACACTTTTTTCACTGGCGTTCTCAGTCTGTTATCGAAACCATACATTTCACGTACTGTAAAGAATCTGCACACCTCCTACTCACAGATTTACCCTCTACATGTGTAGGGACTGGGAAACTTTTATTGACAATCACCCGAGGACAAACTTCTTTCTAAAGTGCCACCCCGTCTCATCTTGCTGTGACCCTGGTCACCGCGTTTTCAGCGCCAGTCGCTCCTCATAGGTTTAAGTGAATTGGCTCCTCACAGCAGCCTCGCGTAGACCAGTGCGTTGGCTCTGCATCAATCCGAGATGTGGGGATGAGATTCTATCTCACACTGTGTGATGCACTCGCCTCCCCAGCGTTTACCAAGAATGTATTTTAATGAAGTGTGTGTGAAGGTGACGGTGTTCAGGTTGTGGACCAACTGTCTGTCCACTTTTTAAATTACATCCAGTGTGATGGCAAAGCTAAAAAAAAAAAAAAAAGAATGGAGGGAGTTTTCATAAGCACTGAATCTGTCCAGTCGTCAATACGAGTTGAGTCATATCTCCTAATTATAGTCCTTTCACCTTCTGTTTCAGCTCTCCATCTCTGCTTCCTGTTCCTTCAATAGGAGTCCTTCAATGCTCCATTCAGTGTAAAAACATGTTACATAGTCTGTTTCTGATCATTCTTGAAAAGTTTGAAGGTTGTCGTGTGTCTGAGAAAGAGAGAGGACACCTGCGTCACTTCGTCTGTCTCGTTTAAGAGAACAGGACAATAATCTATAACTGACTGTGAAGTGGACACAAGTGTTTATCCTGGAAGCATTATTTTTTACCTCCGCCAAGGAGGTCATGTTCTGTTTGTTGGTTCCACGGGCTGGGTTGAAGGATGAGACATTAACCAGGAAAAAAAAAAATGAAAATCCAGATCTAGTTCATTCAGATGTGCTGTCCTGAAGGGACTGTTGGGCCTTGGCGGAGTTATGTGCTCTGCTTTGTGCCATTCCAGTTTATTTTGTATTATTTAAACTCATCCCTGCTAATCTACCAAAGATACATTTTGACCATCATGCAGCATTTAGTGGATGATGAAGCCGGTGAGACTTTCTCTCTGTCTGTGTATCTTCTGTTTCATGTCCATCTAGATGTTCTCTTCAGCTGTGAATATCTCAACGAAATCACACGTTCATTCTGGGTGTTGACTATGTTCTTTCAAGGAAACACAAAGGACATTATGGCCCCCAGCAAAATGCAGATTACTAGATTAATTCCAAGTGTTGAAAAAATGAAATCGAGTAGGTTTGTCTCATCTGTGCATCGTGTCTGCAGACGTGTAGCATCTGGACGTTCATTTACAATGTAAATATCTTCATTGTGCATGTTTTTCAACACTAATGAGTTCTGCTCTTTATAGATCAGACGCTGAGCTCCATCATGCTCTCCTTTGTCCTGAGCCGAATTAACAAGCTGCCCATTGTGTGTCTTTCATATCTTCTTATATTGCACACATGGACTATTACACACTTTCTCTCTGTATAATAGAGGAGGGTTGATTCTGAGCATTTGGCTGACTATTTTTATACTTGGCAAAAAAAAAATCTTGTTTTACGAGGTGATGAAAAATAAATAATCAAAAAAAAATTGTATGAATTACCAGGGAAGGGTTCTGATCCGGTTGCCAATTCGCAAAATATATTTTTTTTATCTTTAGTAAAGAGCAACGAAGACAACATTTAGGTATCTTCTCAGGCCTTCTCATTTTGAAATGTCTCAATATTTTCTGTTTACAAATGACAATGATTATGTTCATTGGCTGAGTAAAAACATTTTGTGATGAATCCAGTAACAAATAACAGGATAAAGCATAATTCAGTATGTTCTCCTCTTAACAATGGGAAAACGTGTGACGTTCACAAAATGCATAAACGCAAACATTATAACAAAGAAGATAATGTCATTCAAATGTTATTCTAATTCATTCTCATTCCTTGAATCTATACACAATGACCTTCATTAACATCTTTGGGTGAAACCCTGAGAATTAATGACCAGGGTCGCGTGTCCCTGTGATGAATCTAGGCACACACGGCCCATTCTAACCCGTTCATGGAAAAAATCTGTAAATCCTCACATCTGAGAGCCTGCAGCTATCACTTCCATGGAATGTTTGCCTGAATGAATAATTGTATAACTGCTGCAGCGCCAATCAAAACACATTTTACTTCTAAATTTCATAACAACAATAAGTAAGTGATGTACGAGGCCAGATGTCGGGCAATTTCCTGAAATTGTGGAAAACTGAGATTCTGGCTCGCCAACTGATCACTAGCACTTTGAATGATAGAGGACATGTGACTGTGTCCTCAGCCTGGAGGTGACCCTGCAGAAACGCAGCGAGGGACCCATGTGGCCGGAGCTGGTGATGGGGGACAGGAGAGGGGAGTACGTGATGAGTGACGAGCAGGCCGCCCTTATCCACGAAAGACTGACACACCTCACCTCCGAAGACCTGGTGAGGACACAAACAACTTCAGTGTGACCGGAACTACCTCAAATGACAGAAACCATTATTTGACCCACAGGGATTAATAAAGTATTTCTGATTCTGATACTGCAGCCAATCACCAGGGGGCGATCAAGATGATTTGGCTTCACTTTTGGGTGCTTTCATCTTTCTTCTTCTACATGAATAAATAAAAACAATGTATGAGAAGAAAAACTTTAATGACCAAACAAACCCTGTTTGAAAATATCCGCAGCTTTGTCCTCACTTTTGTTTTCTAAGGAGTTTTCCTCCTGACGTTCCACACGGTTTTTATTAAGTCCATCCCTTCCTCCTCCTCCTCCTCCTCCTCCTCCTCCTGCGTGGCCCCTCACCTCTGTCTCTCTCCTCTTCAGCTGCTCTGAGCCTCTTCTTCCTGACGTCTTGTACACAGCGTCCCCAGAGTCGCTCCCAGTCTAACTTTGGGTGGCATTTTTAGCCGCTTCCTGTCTCACCCTCACCCTCCATTAGTATCATCCAGGCCCACTCGGGGCCTTCAGTTCAAATCAAGCCTTTTACATGCTAATAAATGCAAAGCAAGTGTAACTGAAGCCTCTGACTTGTTCTCCTGTTCCTCCTTTTTTGTACAGAACGGAAACCCAGACAAGGACAAGCCCCCTTGTAACTCCCAAGAGCTGGAGGATTGTGATGTGTTCCCAGAAGACAGCTCCAGCCTTACACACTTTGACGCAGAATCGCTCAAGCCCACTCGGGTGGTGAGTAACATCTCCCCTCCTTCCCCTTGTGAACGCTTTGTTTTTCCAATCCTTTGAGCTCAAGCGCTCCTGTTTAACATTTTGAGTCATTTCTGTCGCCTCTTCCCATCGGTCATTCCCCTCAAGTGTGCCGTTTGATACCTGATGCTCGCCGCCTCGATAAGAGCGTGTTTTTATTCCGCCCAGCTCGCAGTGAGTGAGCCACCGCTGGCCTTGACCTTAACAAGCCACTTCACCAGAGAGCTCCACCGAAGCCTAGTAAAGAAAGAACAGGCTTACCCACTTCATTAGCAGCACATGTCCTCGTGTCTTGAATCGCAAGAAGTCGCACAATAGTAGCCGATGTCTATTTTCATCAATTTCCATGAAAGATTACGTTTGTGCAACATGTCACTGCTAACACGGCTCAAAGGCTCATATCTGAAGGAAAACACATTTGATTTCAAGTTTGAGTGAAGAACGTGTTTTTTCAGAGTAAAAGCAAAAGCATATTCTCAGGGTAACAAACAAGGAACTCGTCTTTTCCATTATCACACGCATGTTACGTAAGCTTTCATTTCATTTCACATTTTATCGCTCTGTAAACCTTGTTTTTTTACCTGGTGAACATTCATGAGGTTTCACAGCAGGTGACCTTCAGGGGAAGCTGTGGTTGGAAGGAGGTTTGCAAACATTTAATCTGAAATGCTACCATGAAATTCCAGCCTTGTTTTTCTTTTTCTTTTTTTTTTCATCACTATTATTTTTCAACATGTCTTAGCAGTTGGAAGGTTTTGTGCTTAAGAAGAGAAATGATTGAGGCCGGTGGAAGCCTGTCTTCGATCTCCATCTGGAAAAATGGCCACATGCGTCCTTCTCTCGCCATTGTTGTTTGCCCCAAGGTTAAAAACACATGTATCACGTGTTTTTTATTGAAGACAGGAAAACATGTGTTCCTTAGATGGAAGCGATACATGACACTTTGTACATAAACATAAATTCTCTTACATATGTATTTTGTTTGAAGCAGCTCAACCTCTGTATTATGTTGAAAATGCCAAATAATGAGCGTAAGTGAAGATTTTTCTTTTCCCACACAGTTTTCAAAAGCTTCAGTCTTTTTTGGACATTAGTCTGTGTCCGTTCTCTTTCTGTTTCATTTGCACAAAATGATCTTTGTGTTTATGGTTATGAATTCTCCATCATGAAAACTCTCGTCCTTTCATAATGTAATGAAAGGCTAATGAGTGTTCTGTGGTGATGAACAGCTGGACGTGTATAAAAAGCCTTTTATGTTTCTTCCCTCTGCAGAAAGTACAGACAGACACGCAGCTGCCATTATGATCATATCCGTATACCGTTAGCCATTTGAAGGGCAGTCGGGTCTGTTTGTTCTGCATGTGTGTGAACATGTGAGTGTCTACAGGTGTGTACACGTGCGTGTGCGTGTTTGTCTGTATCCAGGAAGGTGTTTCTTCGCTTCCTACCCACGCTGAATCCCCTTTAATGCTTCCGTTGCTCACCTGCCCAGTAGGACACTTGCTGAGCTTTTATTCAGTTTATAACTTTGGTACTTCTATCAATTTGTGTTTCTCTTTGGTCCCGATCCGAGTTGAAAAGACGTCAAATGGGTTTACGCGTGTTCTCCAGAGGGAAGTTGTTATTCATACCATCCATGTCTGAAAAACCTTTTATAATGGACTCTGTCTGTAGACCTGGTAACTGTAGTTTCTGCTTTGGCTCTGGAAATATGAGTCCACGGATGCTCATATTTGTGTTTTCTTGAAATCTTTGAAATCATGTATAATTACCTATAGCACAAAATCTAAACTAAATATTTACCAATGTTAATTCTTTAAGTTGAGGACACTCTTAATAAAGTTACTCCTATTTTTTTTTAACATGCTGTTTGTCTGCAGGCGTCTGTATTTGACTCCGGGCTGCAGATCTCTTTTGGTTTGAAGAAGAAATAACTTGAGTAACTTTGATGTGTTTTCAGCGTGTTGGTAAATAAATGATGTAGGCGATCTCCTCAGGTCGGTTTCAGGCAGGAAGCTATCGCATCGAGCGCTGTAGCTCTTGAAAACTACAGGAATGAATCCGAACGTAACACTGCTTTGGAATGGTGGGATCATTTCTATGCAGCACCAGTATGTAATCCCTTCATGAATATACTTACACATACACAGGTCTCACATATTTTTAGATAGGTCTTAATTATGTTAACATTCATTAGAAGCTACTTTTTTAGGCAGCATGTAAACTTTATGTAATGACTCTGAGAGTTACTTAGGTACAGATATTAACACGCTGTAATAAAACTGATCTTCTCCAAACACTGACAGAATTTATCTCGCTTCACTCGGCTTCGCTGTTGGAAAGATAATGGACACTGTCTCTGTCTGTGATGGATAAAACCTGTATCTCTGCAGTGCCAAGAAAAATCATCATAGATTTCAGACACAAACATGGTGTGAAACCTGTGCTGGTGGCAACCAGGACGTCTACGACCCCACAAGGTTTTTAAATCTAATATCGCCTGGTTTTTCTCAGGCACCCTGATATTTTATTTCCACATTCATGATCACGTCAGACCGGATGACAGGAAGCTTTCACTTGATGCAATTTATTTAACAGTTGAACTTTGGCTGTTTTTTTTTAAAGGAAAAAAAAAAAACCGTTGTCCAGCATCTCGAGCACGAGAAAATTCTTGAGTAAACAACTGTGTGTCCTTTGTACGTGAAGGCGAGCGAGCTGCAGAATCACAGGGACATGTCGGCCGCAATGACGGAGAGTTGACATTTCAGCTGTTATTAAAGACATCTGGCCTCCGTGTGCAGGTGCATTTGCTTTTGATTTCTTAATGTCAGATTCTCATTTCCTGTCCTCCGGCTACAAAGCCTGTAAATCCCTTTGATGAGAAGAAACAAGCATTCGCTAAAAGCTTTTCCAGCCTGAGTCACACAGATACAGTTATTTATTCTCAGTGCTCGTCTCTGCTGCATCTAATTGTAGTATTTATGTTGCGTACATATATACATAAAGTGCAGTACTGGAAGACGAGATTTATTTGAAAGAAAATAAGTATGTCTTTGCAGTCAAGTTAGTGATGCTGCGGAAATAAGACCGTCACAGTCAGTGTCATTATAGCGTGTGAGAATAATCATTTGTGTTTTAAGCCCTTTCTTAAAACGTACCTACACCAGATTGTTCATTTAAATTAAATCTTTCTTAGTATTGATTTGTAACACTGGAATCAGCGGGAAGCTATTTTCTGGATTCCAGAGGTGAGTCTGTCGCTCTGTTCTGCTGCAGTTCGCTCCTCTTCATTCAATCCGCTTCACTCCGCTTTTATTCTCTCGTCACTTTCGCCGTGTTTACTTTTTTGTGAGGGTTTTGATTGCAGTGGATTATAAAGAAAGACGTGAACCCTCATACCTGGGAGAGTGAGCAGGCCAGAGGCTGCTGGAAAAGGTTTTGCTCTACAATAGTTTAGAAAAAGCCTCATGGTTGGATTTTAACTTTTTTTTAATTTTTTTTTTTTCAATGAATCTCAGAGGAAATGGTTTAACTTTGCAAGACTCTCACCAGCAGACGTCAACAGAGTCATGTATTAGTCAGAGTAACACTGCTGAGTCACTGACTTTGAAAAGGTGGGAAAGTCTCAATGAAGGAAAAATGATTTTAGAGCGAATCCTGAAATTACGTGTGTGTGTGAGAGAGAATTTTTAATAATGGTGGCACAGAGATGACTTTGCTGTTTCTATACGTCTTTATCAAACAATAAGTTTGAAGTCACAGCCCACGCTCACACCCAGAAACAGCAGAAGCTGATTTCATCGATTGATGATATCCTTCGGTACAGAACAGGAACCAAGCGTCGAAGCCGCTGTCTCGACACTGACTGATGAAACCTGTTTGTAACTACACAGGTCTGATGAGCCATTTCCCCGTTTCATTCTGAAAACTTCCTCAGTAAGAAGAAATTAATGACGTGCAAGTTTTAAAGCAAACATTTCCGATTCTTTTTAAAAGTCTGTGCAGCACAACAACAAAAGAAGAAGTGAAATCACAGAAAGTATCTCATCACTCCCACCGAGGCATCGGTTTACTTCTACGTTTGTTTGTTAGTTAGCAGGATTACGAAGGATGATGGAAAGAATCAGGCATGTTTAGATACGTGTTCGTGTGAAATCTGGTGCAGATCCAAACAATAATCTGGATCCAGTGAATTTAAATGAGACTTTAGAAGGAGATCAGGGGCTTCGACCCCTGAATTGGAACAAAGCTCATCAGTCTGTGGTCCAGTCACATTTTATATCAAATTTAAAATAAACAAAACACTTTGTTTAATTGTTTTAGCTCAAATTTCCATGAAACACAAATCAAACATGTGTATGAAGCTGTTAATGAGACATTCCTTTGCCCTCCACGACATCAACTCCTGATCTGAGTCAAGCTGGATCATCTTTATTGAAGGACCTTGTCAGAAACCGACATCATCGTCAATCAACAGGCTGCCCTGAAGTTCGGAGCCATCGTCTGTTATCATCTTGCGCCAAATCAAACACAAGTGGCAAGAAAAATGGGTTTTGGAGTGGAGGAGTGATGGCTCGCTAAACGGCCTGTCATCACGCGCAACATCAACCCCCAACATGCAAGGCTGGTTTATGCAGAGTTTTCAATGCCTGTCAAGTGCGTGTTGAGATGGGCGGGCCCGCGCTGCCTGACAGACACGTTGGCAGCCGGCTCCGCAGGATGTGGGCCGACAGCCGAGCGAGGGATCGGTGTGAGGAGCCAGATGTCGAGGAGAGATCGTGTCACAGCAATGGTCGTTTTCTGTCCAAAACAAATCGGACCAGAATAGCAGCAAAGCGCACACAGGCCATTACGTCAAGCTCATTCATCGGCCTGAGCCATCTGGGCTGCAAATAGAAGGTTGTGATCACACACTGTTCAAAATACCAAAATAATCACCCATCGAGGCCACGGTGAATTTTAAAATGAGATCAGCTACAGGCAGGAATCTGAATTTTGATAATCCAGGTTTTTATTCTCAAACTACTTCACGTGTCCAGAGTCTCGCACTTCAAGTCCTCAAATCGATGAGTCACAGAGAATAAACTTCAGTTGACCGAAGTTTCAGCTCCTTGTGTCTGTTTCCCTCCTCTCTCCCTCTCTCCAGGTGAATCTAGGCAGCCACCAGTACCTGTTCACCGTGGACGTGAACCCCTCTGAAATGCCGTGCCTCTGCCTGCGACACGACGTGGACGCCCTGGTGTGGCAGCCGCGTCCTGACCAGCCCGGTAACATGTGGGAGCACGTCGCCACGTTCAACGCTTTGGGTGAGTATACGTGAAAACCCTCAGAGAAAACATTTTCACTGTGAGGAACAGTGTGTGAATCGTAAGAGATGCACAATATATGAGGTGCAGTGAGAATATGAAATAAACACAGACCAGAAATATAAAAACAACAAAAAAAGACAGATCGATATGTTTCAGCTGCTGGAATCACACGGCAAACGAGTGAAGACGCTTGTTTTGACGAGCTCACAAATACTGAAATTAAAGGTTAATTTTCATCGTGAATCAATCGCTCATGTCCTTGGTATTTGCTGTGAGCTTCTGGAGTCTGACCCGCGTGAGAGCAACTAGATTTTATTCATATATATCTATCTACTCTATTGTCTGAGGTCTGAGCAGGAAAACTCAGACCTGCCTTGTAGCATGAACACACAAATAAATATGTGAAGAGCATCATTCACAGAATCAGAATATAAACCATTCGAATCTCTCTGGACAGTAAAACCTGCGCCTCGTAGCTTTAACACTCTGCTGCTTGAGACTTGTTGCGTTAATTTAACACCACGTCTCCAATCCTTCGTGTCTCGAGCCCCGTCTCTGTCTCTTTGTCTCATTCATCTACTCCTCTCTCTCGTTAGTCAACAACAGCTTCTGTGTTTTATTTCAATTTTCCTCTCTGAGAGGTTTGACATCTTCACTCGTCTGTTTTTAACACCGTCTGCATCAACCAGTTTTAGAGCGCAGATGGATCCCGGGTGATATTTTCAGAGGGAGTCGAAATTAGGCTTCCGAGGAAAAGGTTCATCGTGTGTTCCTAAAAATCAAGCTTGTTAAAACGCAATAAAAAAGGACTCCACATGAATGAGTGTCTGTTAAAGTGGCTTTTAGAGGATCATTAAAAGTTTGTATGTACTAGAAAACTGTTATTCTGCTAGAAGCTCGGATAATGAAGCTTTTAGTGAAGGAATGTTTTTGAGAGATAATGAAACAAAGTAATGGGTTTTGTTATTGACTGTGCTGCTGAGGCTTTAAGAGGTCACATTATGTTTTCAAACTGGCTTTGGTAAAACTTTGTTCTGCTTATCGGCATCCGCAAATACACGAGGATCCGGTAGTATCTGTGCGATGACCGACAGTTCAGAACACAAATACTTCAAATTACAAATGCGAGGACGTGAGGATCTGATTTAAAGCCCTCCTCACGTTCATTCAAGTCACCTGTGGAATGAGCGAAGACGAGGCCAAAGGAAAAGCACGAAACACAGAAACGGTTTCTCAGTGTGGACACTTTTTTAACTGATTAAAAAAAAAAAAGATCCTCTCTTGTCTGAATCACGCTTTTCTGTTTTTTTTCTCGCAGGCTACGTTCAGGCATCCAAACGGGATAAAAAGTTTGCGACCTGTGCTCCAAACTTTTCCTACGCTTCGCTGTGCGAGTGTCTCCGCCGCGCGTTCATCTACCGGCAGCCGGCGCCAGTGGAGACGGTGCTCTTCAACCGGAAGCAGGGTCGGCAGATAGGACAGGTTGCCAAGCAACAGGTGGCCAGTCTGGACTCCGACAAACCCATCCTGGGATTCAGAGCGACCAATGAGAGACTGTTCATCCTGACCTCCGGTAACCTCTTTGTTCTAAAGGTCAATAATAATTAGATCCCCTTGGAGTGGATATCTCATTACGCTCTTAGAGTCAGATCATTCCAAACTGAAGATGTTTTATCTGCGACATCTGAAAAACAAAACGTCCTTATTTGTAAATTTGTTCTTCACGTGTCGGCGATGAGATCGATTTCCTTGTGTTTTACATTTTAAGACTGTGTCAGGAAAATGTCCGAGATCAACAAACTGAACTGACAAATTGTGGTGATTATCATTCACAAACTGAGGTTTTCAAAATAAACTTCCATGAGACATGTGTTACTTTCCCACAGTGTTTTAAAATGTTTTTTTTTTTTTTGTGGATCTGAAAGTTCTGCGAAGTGAAACAGCGTTACATCACGATACCCCACATTTGCGTTATGCGCTCCAGCAGCTAGTCTGGCACAAACACAACCGGGTGAATAGCGAGCGGAAGCCGACTCACGCAACAGAGTCGCCCAGCCAATCAGAGGGGGGGGGGAGGGGCCTAAAGAGACGGGCGCTAAAACCAAGTGTTTCAGACGGAGGCAGCAGCGGACAGAATGAGGATAGGGATGTGTTTCCTGAATATATAGAAAATAAAATAAAATGATCTCATAACTCCCATTTTCTGATAATGGATCATTCACTTTATCATTCACGAACATTTGCAGTTTTATGAAATCCAGTGTAGAAAAACTGTACAACTGTATAAATGTGTCTGTAAGGAACGGCTGTGTGTGTTACAGTCTCCATCATCAGTTGTAGTAACTTGTTGGGGGGGGAGACGAGGAGGAAATCCTTTTTTTTTTTTTTTTACAATCATCACTGTGGGAATATGAAAGAAGCAAAGCTGCATTTCCATTAATTTGCATAAACATGATCACAAATCCCACCGGCTCTTTTTGCATTAAACTCCATCTTGAAGGAAACAGTCGGACTTGAAGCTTTAAATCTCGAGAGGTCTGAACATTCAATCACGTCTTTTCTTAATGTGGTTTTTCTTCTCTTTATTCTGGTGGTGATGGTTATTTGAAAGGAAGAGCTACTCGCTCGCAGTACGTCTATAAATACTCAGATGGATACTGATGCGCTTTTTCTCCGGGCTTTTATACCAGAGTGCATCTGCTACTTGGAAACCTGGGATTCAAAATAGACAAAAGTTCACGTTTTAAACTTTTCTACTTCCCCTCCATGGAAACCGCAGCTCGTGAATCCTCATCCTCCACATCTTGAGCCAAACTGCAGCTCGTAAACAAACGTCTCTACTTTGCCGCTTTCTATTTTCTATTTAAAGAAGAAGCCCACTCATCCTGTCCATCCAACAGAAACCAAAAGAGATGCTAATGGACTTTTTTTGTAGAAATAAATAGAAGCTCCACTTCCTCTTCTTTGTATTTTCTTTGAATGAACAGGGATCAATTCTTTTTAGATTAAAAGGGACTAGAGTTTAAACACAACATCGGCTCATCAGTGTTTCTTCGTGTTGAATCGAAGGCAACGACAAACAGGAGCCAGCCGGTCGGTCGGGGATTGATATTCAGAAATTATAGGGGGAGCTGCTCGAACCGCTCAAATTGCCAGTGATGTGTGAACTGGAACATTAAGTAACGACGCACATTGTCTTGTCCCAGTCGAAGGCAGCTTCACAATTCAATAGTCTTCATCAGGATGGGCAATTTTGTGTCCTCAGTTCCCCCGAGTCCTGCCCCTCTCTGAGGAGACTGCTAAAGCCACAACACAGTGCGGGTAAACAGCCGTATCTCTTTACTCTGTGTTTGTTTTGTTCTGGAAAATCCAGTTTACTCTCAGTTTTATCCAATTAGTGATCTACAATTAAATTAGGCCAGACTGTTTGTTTTTATTAGCTGCAGCAGAATCCCAGAATTACTTGAAGGCGACCTGTCAGAGCCACTAATGTCCCCGAGGATCAGCTCCGCTTACTCAGAGACAGAGAGGAAAGAAAAACTGGTTATCGAGCCTCCTGACCACAGAGAATTGAATTGAGAATTGTTACCGCTCGACCGTCTGCGTTTCCCAACCCTCCGAACCACAGCTTTGAACAAACTGAATTAAACGAGCGTGTCTAAGATTGACGGCCTTGTATGGTTTTTATTTAATCAGCTCCTCTGAGTGAGTTCCATTGGCCGCAGGGTCAGGAGAGTGGATCTGGATCTAAATCCAAATGAAGATTCCTGGTTTGACAGCGACAAACAGCTGCATCATATTTCAGGACCACAATGAAAATAAAGGTTTAGATTCGGGTACGTTTACTAATGCGTGAGTCATATTAGATTTCACATGCTGCTTTGAGGAAGTTAATCAAATGTAATTAATTTAAGTTGGTTCATTTTGATATCAGGTCTCCTGTAATATCAGTCAGGCAGATTCATCAGTATTGGGGTTGTGACCGACCTTGATAAACTATCAGCGACGTGAACGACCCACAGGAAAAAAAAACAAAAAACTTTCTTTGTCATTGTCAAAATGTCAAATTCTGGGTTTCCACTGAAAATCACACTCACAATGATCCCGGGATTCATATCAGCCACCTTGAAGTAATCTCCACTGTAAGGTCACAGATGTGATATAAGCTGATATAGGATCAGTATTCATGATATCATGGAAAGTAAACATTATGCTAAGCAGCAGGCTAACCTGATAAAGTATGAAATCAATTGGCCGTGGAGCTTTTTACGGAACAAACCTTTTCCCCAGTAAATAAAGACCACTGTCAAGAGAGAAAACAAGAATCGGTGCTCGATAAGAGAAAAACCCTGAGTTCCTGAGAGAGAAAGGTCGATCGGTTCATCTCCATAAAAAGAAACCCTTTAATCCATGTTCCATCCAGTGAATCTCTCAGCCGAGGCCCAGCAGCCTCCCTCATGAAACCACATTTAAATTCTCTGGTTTTATTTGGATCTGTGCTGAATTGTACACACTCCGAAAAATCTGAACTGAGAGACCTTTTAAAAAAAAAAAAAAAAAAATCATTGGTTTGTGATTAAACCTGCGTCTCTCTCTGCAGATGTAATTGACACCTTGAAAATGACGGAACAATTAAAGTAAACAAACCCACGTATTCCTGCAGTCGCAGAATCACACACGTCAATCCAGACCCAGCTGATTGCACATTCTTCTGTAATGAACCCCCCCCCCGATGTCATCAGCAGAACTGAAGCAGAGTAATTCGTCGTACCTGCACGGTCACGTCTGCACATACAAAGTGGGAACATCTTCAAATCACATTCATGCAGCATTTCTATCTGGAAAAAACCCGTCCACCCAGAGGAGAATCTACATTTTGTCCTTTTCCCCAATAGGACCAGCACAATCTGGATGTTCCTGTGAGTGTGTGGTCTCATTATCTCAGACTGAATCCATCAGAGAACTTTCATTAATTAAGTTGCATGAAATTTAAAAACTGTAATTTTCCGTCAGGCCCTTTTTTTTATTTAAACAGCCGCTCGCCACGCTGCGTTCTCGTCCACGTGTAATTACTCATAAAAGCTGAGGCTGCTCCCTGGTTGCAGTAGAGCTGTAATTACCCCGCCCCTCGTCTCCGTCCGTGGTGTCACAGCATGTGTCACACATCCATTATCACAGAACAAGCGTTTTTTATTGAGCTGAAACACATTGATTTCACAGCTAATGAGCCAGAAAGTTTCTTGTCTCTTCACCTGAATAACGTTCCTCTCTCGGCTCATCCTCCCTCGTCCTCCTCTTCTCTCTGAGCGAGCCACGCCTCCTCGTAGTGACTGTTTGTCGCCCTCCCTCCGAACTTTACCTTCTCCTCTCCGCTTCCTTCTCTGCACCTCGTCTGTTTTGACACCTGATTAATCTCAGTTCAGGCACGTTGATGTTACAGCACCGTTATTTAAGGGGCAGCGATGTGATTCATAATTCAGGGCCTGCGTCCTGCACACTTCCTCTTAATTACACCCTGTCATACAAGAACTGAATTTTAAATTGTAATCACCACTTTTTCTTTTCTTTTAATTTTCTTGCTCGTTGCTAATAGATAATTGCCCTGGAATCTTTTATTCATTTCCCAGAAAGCACCTGTCAATCACAGCGGAGTAATGTATGTGTGTTTTAATGGATTTTTCTGGTGATGAAGTTTATTTGGGGAATAAAATAACTTAGTCAGGTTAAAAAGTTTGCATTTACGTGGAATTGGTTTCGAAATAAATTTTAAATTAATGTTTCGTGATGAAGGACGAGGAGGAAACAATCCTGGGAATTTGGTGTAAATGTAAAAAAATCTAAATCTGAAATCTAAATCCTGGATCCTCTGCAAAGTTTTTCAGGTTTCTTCTTGCTCCATTAAGTTAAATCAAGCTGCAACAAATCACACACTCACAGATATTACGGCATGAACGGACGAGCGGTTTCTCTAAAGGCTCAGTTCCTGTGATGTCTCCGCTCGGCAGCCTTGAGCTGCTTTCCCACCAAATGAAAAGCTGATATCAAACTTGTTGAGAGCATTCGTTGGACCGCCTGCATCACCTGTAACCACAGTAACGGCTTCTTCAGTGGAAAAACACTGCTGCTCACTTTTTGTCAGTGAAGTGTTGAATTCAGGTCCAGACTGAAACACCTCTGGGAGCTCAGTGTGACACTTTGTGCAAACGTTTCTCCTCAGAAGATGAATCCTCGTGATCCTCCAGCGTCTTCGGTTTTTGATCGAAAGGTCTGAAACAACTTGAACTGATAAAGATACTCGACGTCTCTAAAGACATCATCAGGCTTCATTTTGCTGCTGTTCTGATTTATTTTATGAAATAAATCATTTAAATCCTAAACAATCTCATTCTCTGTTTACAGCTTACAGTTTCATTCTGCTGGCTGCTGTTCAGTCACTGAGTCGCTACGAGCTCTACAAACACCTAGAAGGACAGAGAGAGAGAGAGAGAGAGAGACCTTCACCAAGGCTAACTCTCTATTTCACCATGTTAAAGAAAAAGATACGTGTGTTTATCCGTATCCAAAATTAAACGAGTTCTCTCCATGCAGGAAATAAATCTTTTCAGTAAAACACACAGAGATGTGTAAAAATAAACCTGAACCTACATGGATGGACAGAACGTTGATTAGACATGGTTCTTCCTTCAGGGGAGCCCCCTCTCAGATATATACGAGAACAGAGAGAAGCTTCCATTTTACCTTCATGGTCGTATGACAGGTCTCCATCAGGGAGCGAAAGGTTAACGTCTCCCTGTGGACGGTCTGTCCTGTTACTGAGGTGTTTTATAGCCATTCTCACATCCGAGGCTGGAGCCGACAGCAGTTCAGCATCTGTGTGTGTGTGTGTGTGTGAAGGGGGGGGGGGGATGGTTGGAGGCTCCAGGGAAACCGTATGAAGCCTTTTGAAATTCCACTCACGCAGTTTTCAGGCCTGTGATGGCTGTAAATTAGCAGTTAAGTGAAACTGCTCTCAGGGAGAGCAGACGAGGGGATGCTCCACAGACATGACGGCTCAATTTCAGAATCCCATGTACGAGTGGCGGGTCTGAACGACGGGCGTGTTATTGTTGAATGAGCTGCAGTGATGGGAGCTGTGGTGACACATTCACAAACTAGACATCGAGTTCTGTTCCTCTGTCAGAACAATAAACTGGAGAGCGACAAGGACAAGAAAGGACTGAACCGTTCTGCAAACTGCTCATATTAAACGTCCGCTCAGTCATGGAGCTGAAAGGAAAGAACAGGTCGCGCCCGAAAATATCTATTTTGATTCACAAAATCAGGATCTTCATCAGGAATCTACAGCCAGGATTCATTTTTGATTGAACTTTTTTAATCTTCTAATCAGTGAGAGGGACCTGATGGACTGTGAGACGAGAACAAGTGGAATTTAAACGGTTAACAAAAGCATCCAAGATTTTTTCTACCAGCAGAACAGAAAATGTGACGTCCGCCAAAATGTGAAATAATCACAAAAAAAACAAGGCAAAAAAAAAAAAACAACAAACAATCTAATTCCAGAAAGATCTTTATTCAGAACATAAAGATAAAATGTACAAATGAAGTGTTTCTGGACGAACATCAAAATATTCACAGCTTCACATTTATCTGAAAAGTGAGACCAAAGCAGCAGCTTCCACAGAGAACATCACAAAATGATATTTCTAGTGTTTTAATGGACAATAAATAAAGAATAAAGAAAACTTCACACATTTCTCTTTACTTCAGCCTTGAACTAGATCTTGCACTTGCCCGCACATTTCTTTTAAATCTCATTTTAACAATTAAAATCTGTTCTTTACATGAATTACATTTGTTTTTATTTTTATCTATATCGTATGAAAAGCACTTTGAGCTGCATCTCTTGTATGAAAGCTGCTTTATTAGTAGTATTATTATTAATAATGAAAGTCAGAGTGGTGTAAAAATATTCAGCAAACAGAGGAGTTAGCATAAACAACAGTAAATGCACAGATACTGATACTCGAGGCTTTTACAGTATTGGTACAATCATGAAAGAGGCTGTCGCTGTTATTTGTTCCATCTACAGTAATAAATGAAGCTTGTTCCAGAGGGACAGTTTCATCTGCTGCCCAAATATATCATGTGCGACAGCCGATGCTCTGATCCGGCAGAAAACACCACACGACATCAGTCAGGCGTCCACGCAACTAAAAAAAACGAGACGAGCGAAGCGACCATTTGTCAAATCCACAGTTCCAACAATACAAAACCCAAAGTTCACTCTGCTTCGGCTTGAAATCACAAACACTGACGATTAGATGTCATCTACAGTGACTTGAATCACGTTGCACTCTCTGTGACAATATATACAGACTTTCACACTGTAAACAAATAAAACAGGATTCATGAGCTCTCGCAACAAGGCGTCTTTTTAAAGGGTTATAAGTTGTGACCGGTTTTATTAAAGTAACAGTTTAACATGAACACGATCATGAGACGTCAGGAATCAATGGTTATAACTAACCAGTTGTTGAAAATGTAATTTGTTCGAGGAGTCACATTGTCGGAAAAGTTGAATTTGTGTTTGACCAAACTCTTTTTTTTTTGTTTGTAGGAAAATGAGAACGTCTGGTAAGTAAAACAGAATTACGCCTTATTTGCACAGTTTCTTCTAAATCCTGGATTAATGATGTTGAGTCCTCTGTAGGACACGTTTTCCTGGGGACTAATTATCTGCAGGACAACACATCGATTAAAAAACAAATGTCGACATCGTGCTCCGGGTTATTGGTCGCAGACATTTGACTCCATGGTCTGAAAAAGAATATTCCTTTGAACGGCTGCATGAGAAAAAAGCACCGAGAACCCAAAGCTTGTTCCGACAGTTCTTACCTAGAAATAAAATCATAGAACACAACTTATAACCCGTTTATAAAGAAACGCCACAGCGGCAAATATCTAACTTCTCTTTTTGGCACTTTTTAAATTGGAGTAACAAAGTTCTTTGTACACGCTCGTTCTCAGACCTTGGACGAAATTAACTCCGGCCTCCGGAGCCGTCGGCACGGTCTCTGCTGGTTCGTGCTCAAGGCTGCGTACACGACTTTCACAATAAAACAAGGGCCTGTTGTGTGAGTGAAGGTTCCGGTGTGACTCAAAACCCGAAAACGGTGGGACAGCAGGATATTTTTGAGAAAAACGATAAATTTACTGGTGGAAAATGTTGCAGCAAATGTATCCGGGTCAGACGCGTCGGCATCGATCCGTTTGGTTGTGTCATGTTTTTGGTTTCCTGTGGCGTTAAGGCCTCGCTGACCGGTTATCACTTAACGCGTCGTGAACAGTTCACTGACGCAACATTTCTTGGTGTTGAAGTTCACATGATGTCAATCGCCGCTCCTCGGATCTGCCGACGTGAGAAATGACTCTGTGACACAACAACTCATATCTGAGGTGAGAGTGATGCATTTGTTGGCGGTTACGTTTTGTTGGCTCATTTACAGAAGATCACGAGGTCGGGTACGAGATGAGACGACGGCCGTGCAATGGAGAGCACTTATCTGCCCACGTTTGAGTCTTTACAACGTCCGGGGTCCTTCTCGATGGAGAGCGTTTGGCTTTGTGCCTCGAAGACTGTCTTCATGCATCAGTGTCTTTGTTTGCGACTCTAGCTACAGCGAGCCGCCTTTCAAAAGGTCAGCAGGCTCTCAAGGAACAATACTCCCACTGAACGGACTCCATCAAGGGACATTTTCATGGTCGGTGGATCCTTAGAATCGTCTCCAACGAGCCTCAGGCGTCGCTGAAGTTCACCTTCCCGTACACGCAGGGGTTGGGAAACATCATCTTCTGATCTGAGAGCAGGTCGTCCATGACGGTGAGCTCCTCCAGCTCCGTGGTGAAGTGGTCGGTGCTCTCCACCATCGACGTGTCCTTGACGGCGCTGTAGGTGAGGGCCATGCTGTAGGCGGCGGGTTTGTCGGAGCCCTTGCTCCTGCAGCGGCAGATCTTGCGGAAAGCAGCGCGGAACTTCTGCGACATGGCGTTGTAGATGACCGGGTTGATGGCGCTGTTGAGGTAGATGCAGATCCGGCAGAAGAGCAGGAACCAGGTGTCCAGGTAGGCCGGGTCCAGGAAGGAGTTGACCACCACCAGGGTGCGATACGGCATCCAGAGCGTGGCGAACAGGATCACCACCACGGCGAGCATCTTTGTCACCTGTAGGGGGCGACAGACATATTTTAAATACATAGAAATAACAGATATGGAGCCAAACGTACCGAAGAGCAGAGAATTAAACTTTTTCTAGCATATTCACTTTTAGCTCTTTTACTCCGTGAACATCTTGGGAGGCTCTTTATAATATTTTTTTATTTCTTATTTCATATCTCGTACACTTTGTCTTGTTCGTCTTTAACGAAGTTCTTACTTCAAGCTCTCGCTCTGTAGCGTCAGTGGTGTCGATCAGCTGTGAGTCAATTTGAAGAAAAGCATCTAACACACGAGTAAATGTTAAAATGAATCAGCAACTATTTTGATTATTTTTAAAAACATTTTGCAGGATCTTAAATGTGAATATTTGCTATTTTCCTCATGATAGAAAACTAAAATATCTTTGGATTTCTCTCGTGTTGGTTGAGAACAATCACTGATTCATCAATTCATTCTTTTGTAATTTGCTGTTTTCTTTTAAAGACTAAATTTAAGATGCGTATAAACAGAAATTTAAGGACTTCACCATGAGATTTAAACAAGTATTGATCTCAGGATACCCTGTTCGGTTTTGACTCTAACAGGCTTATTGTTTCCATTACTGTCTTCAATTCAGTGACTTATATTTAATATATTTAATTTGTGTGTATTAATTCTCACCTCTCTCCCACATTGTAATTGTTCCGTCATCAGCATGAGTTTAAAGTATTACTGGAAAAAGCCCTTCTGTATGTTTTATGGTTTATATTGATGTACTATTTAGAAGTACAGTTGTAGAGTACATTTGTAGTATTTGTAATACTTTTGTGTGCGTTATTAAATAATAACAAGCTTATATATTTTATACATTAGAATAAAATAACAAGAACTACAGGTGTTAGGCAGGTGTGGGGGGAAAGTTAATGATATCTCCCTCTGAAGTGGAGCATCTTATTCCCTTGTTTAGAATAAACCATGTGATTTCCAGACTTTTCTTTTTGCCTGGTTTGAGAGCAAAGGGCTCCAGACGCCTGAGGGCTCCTCCGGGCTCCTCTCACCTGTCTGCGGGAGGTGGCGGTGGAGCTGGAGTGTCTGGAGTTCTTGCAGCTGACGCTCTTGTGGTTGTTGTGTCCGTTCTTCTTCTTGTCTTTGGGGTCTGAGGGCAGCGGGTTGAGGAACAGGATCCGGGCGATGAGTCCGTACAGAACCGCAGAGAGCAGCAGCGGCAGCACGAAGAAGACGCCGAAGTCGAAGAAGTAAATGGGCAGGTAGAACTTCCTGGGGACCCTGTAGCCGCAGGTGGTGATGGTGATGTTGTCGTACACCAGCTCCTGGATGTCCGACAGGTAGAACCACATGACGCAGTACAGGGAAGTGAAAGCCCAGACGCACAGGATGATCTTTTTGGCTCTGGACAAAGTGCAGAGGAACTGGGCTTTGATGGGGTGGCAGATGGCGATGTACCTCTCGATGGTGAAGGCTGTGATGGAGCAGGAGGACGCGTTGATGCCGAGGTACTGGAAGTAGGTGATGCAGAGGCAGCCGTAGTGACCGAACACCCAGGATCCGAACACACTGTCCGTGATGGTGGGTAAACCGGCCGCTGTGAGCACCATCAGATCCGCCACGGCCAAGCTCACCAGGTAGCAGTTAGTGGGGGTCCTCATGTGTTTGGTGGTGAGCACCACCAGGATCACCATCACGTTCCCAACGATTCCAAGAAGACAGATGAGGAGAAGCAACAAACTGCTCGTCACTTTGTACTGGAGGCTGTAGTCCGTCCAAACCCCTAAAGTTTGGTTCATCTCCGGAGATGCTGTAAATGTCCCCATCTTCTTTTTATCCGCTCAAATATCCGAGATGGAAGAAGAAAAAAAAAGTCGTTTCCCTGCGCGCCAGATTTTGGTTTTACGCGCGGCAGAAGCGAGGGATCATCCTGCTCTGGAGGTCTGGAAACCTGTGAGTCCACCTCGAAGTGAATGAAGATGCACGTCACACATCAAACCGTCACACGGTGACAAAGAGCCGCTCGGACTCTGGAGGAGTTTCACGGTGGCGCTGTGCGTAAAAAGGCGATGCGTCGTCGTGCGCTCGCCAGAACAAACTGTGGCGCGGACAGATGGCGCTTTGGTTTTGAGCCTTTAACGCAAGCTCGCTTCACGCATGCGGGGGGGATTAAACCATTATTACATTTTCGGAAGCAGACCTCCCCCAGTCCACAAACCCAGCTGGTCACACATTAGAATGTGGCAGCATGAATGAATCTGTTGTAATTTTATTTCTCAGAAACAGACTGAAGATGTTCTGCTTCTGCTTGTGAAGACGAGTTAAACATGCAGATGTTTCTTATTCAGTCTTATTGAATTTACTGACTGAAGCAGAATTCAGTTTGTAAGATTTAAAGAACGTGACACCTGAATAAACTGGTGTTTGTTGGATGGAGTTGACAGTTTTGGCTGAGAGCCATAGAGATATTGTACAATTTCTCATATCTAATCTAAAATTAGATGTTTTTGAAAACTGGCAGAATGTCCTCCACACACGATGGGTTTGCAAAAACAGGTGAACTTTCAATTGATCTGATGATTTCTTGGTGGCTGCTGATTGATGTTGTCGTCATTCTAAGATCAATGAGCAAACCTGTCTTGTAACAAATCTCTCCACCATCTGCAAATAAAATCATGGCGATCGCCCACATTTCAGAAATCCACAGGTTGTGAGTCGAAATTCACAGCAACACTTTTAACATGACACCAAAAATACAAATAAAACACTACTACTACAAAGTACGTTTTGCTGGAGAAATACTGGAGCCTTAATTTACTGGCCAAAACAAAATGATGAAATCAGCTCATGAAATAGTGTCAGGTTGTGATTGGATGAGAAGAGAGAACGAGCTGGTGGAGTTCAGAGGTGGCAGGATCTGTGTATGCAGCTTTCTAAAACCCACTGTGGTCAGACATATTTTTAAAAATGACATAAAATGCACATAAAGTATCATCTGGTGCTCGAATGTCATCTCACACTTCACATTTAAAGACGCTCTAATGACATTTCTAGTGAAGTTAAGAACCTCTTCCATTCCCTCTGTGCTGCAGTGATTTGTCAGCACCACTGTACATTTCATTTGACGAGAGGCTGATACGGTAGATTTGATTAAATATTGTTCTTAAGATGATAACAACCCTGGATTTTTTTTCTCTCTATTGTAAAGCCAACATGAAAAGCACAAAAAGACAGATCGGCAGTGACCTGTATCAGCTGTCTTCTGTCCAACAACATGGGAAATGTGCAGTTGCTTGTTCTCCACACTGTGGAGGTGGGAATCTCTCCTCCACACCAACTGTGCTCGTTCTGCCAGAGCCGAGCCGAGGATGCTGACGCCAACACTCCACTTTTAATCATGAGATTATTGTGCAGCGAGCTCTGAAGTCGCCAGCCGTCCATCCCGAGCAACAGGTGGACCAGGACAACAGGGAATTACATAACAGCCCGTTCCATTCTTTATTTTCTCCCCATGATTCCCACGAGAATATGTGAAGACTCAGTTCCAGCTCTGCTTCTTCTCCATAGTTTCACAGATCTGCTGTGATTAGAGAACTGGTTTATTCTCTGCAGCAGGTCCACACCATGAGTTTTTATGCCTTTTCTTTCACTCAATTTGAACATTTACTGCTCTTACCTCAGTGTGGACGGTAGAATGACTCATATCTGCAACTCTGAGACAAAAGAGATGCTCATTGCTTTCCGTCCAAAAACCATCCTGCCACAGCACTGACCTTCATCGGTGGCACAGTTGTGGAAACAGAGAACCAGTAAACATAATTTGGCACCATCCAACATGACAACAAGATTTTTGGGGTATTTTAGCCGAGCAGAGAAGACACGCAGCAAAATGTCAGAACCGAACTTGAACCTGAGACTCCCATCTGCACAAAGGCCAATCAGAGGCGGTTAACTTCAACCAGACACTGACTCGAACAACCTCAGCCATGTTTATGAAGTCGAGCCGCTCAGAGGGCAAAGGTCATTTTGGCATCAAGGACGATGTAGAGATTCGTAAGTACAAATCTTCCTCTTGTTTGAATTGAAGGGGACTGTTGTCCACTCTTCTATTTTATTGCAATGTCAAAGTGATAACTCTCACCGTCCGTCTAAAGTATTTATTAGTATTCTATAATGTGATCCTTAGTGTTGAACCCCTGATGTAAATCAAATTGCTCCTTCCATCCTCAGAAACCTCTCGAATCTGAAATGATCAGAGGTTAGATATTCTTCTGTTTCCTGCTCTCACTCATTTAGAGCAGGAGGCAAAAAAAAATCATCTGAAGGAAAATAAGTGACAGAGTTTCACTGCCACCTACAGGACGAACCTGCCCAGCACCAGAGACGAGAGCAAACAGACTAAAGACGTTTCTGTTATTTCCACATTTCAGTTTTTCTACTCTCACGACATCATGGAGCTGCTCTACTGACGTTAATGACATTACACTGGATGTGTAGACGTCAATACACCAGATCATGCTCTTTTTAATTCACCAGAAATGAACCTGTTGTCCTCCACAGGCCCAAACCTCCTGAATCAGACTATTCCCCTTTTGGAGGCAGCAGCTGGAACACGTGTGACTTCACAGCTGGAGCACGAGATGATCTCTGGCTCCGAACACAGTGACCTGTCACAGTGACAGAAAACCTGTGGTGGTGAAACATGAATAGCTAAAAGAAAGGATTATAATCTCCTCTGTGGAAATGTGGATAGACGGATTCTATCTTCTGCTGCATGTTTCCCTTCATCTGTTCCCAAACACATCTGTAAACCTTAGTCAGTGTGTGTAATCTGGTGCAGGCCCCAAATACTGTAAAAATCAGGATGTGGTGGTTTCATGAGGGGACTGTCGAACCTGGAGCTGCTGCACTGAGTGACGTTCTAGTTCTGCTGCTGTTACACAATGTGCACAGCAGTTGAACAGATAATCGTGTGCGTATGTCGTTCAGAAAATCAATATTATCAAATATATGTCTTTGTTGGCAGAAGAAGAAGATTGCATTAGCATTTCTCTCCCACACGTCGAGCATTAGAACTCAACACAGGAGCAACAGTGGTTTAAAATCTTAAAACGACCTTTGACTGTTGTGATTTACTGAGACGGTGGCAGGTCATTTTAAAGGAAATCAGATCGAGTCGACAGGGATCCATGAGGCTGTCGACATCTCACATACACACACACACACACACACACACGCACCCCCACACACCCCGGAGGCCCATGACTCAAGGCCGACCATAAACAAGCTGCCCACTGCTCCACCCTGACCTCCCTCTGTTCATAGTAAGAACACTGTGGGTCCTGTCTATAACCTGCACTGACAGGAGGCATCACTCCTGCACAGAAAACGACTGCGTTTTCTTCACCTCCCACAATGCAACACCTCCCAGCCTGCACCGTTAGTATTCCTGTGTACGACACACAGACACAGGCACATGCAGAGTTTATTCAGGCCACCCTCCAGGTGGAAATGTGAGGCGATGTGTGGGAGTCAAAAATCACATTCATAATTCATAAAACTCAAACTGAGATTTGAAAAGTTGGAAAAGTTTTCACTGAGAGATTTCAGAAGAGAGAATCTCAAACCGAGGATGTCATGACTTTATTTCTCATGCAACATAATATTTTGAACGGATGTGTATGAAAGAAAACCATGACCAGTGTCTCGATCCTGGGGGGCAACGTATCCGTTGTCCTCAGACAGATTTTGAGAGAATAACCACATAAGAAACTCAAGCGACTGATGGGTGAACTCGTGTGTGTTTTGCCCGTGGACGGACATGTTTGTCCTAAACGGATTAAGTGATGTGGGGGACGAGAGGAAGTGAAGACGGCCCTCCGGCTCCATCTTGTGCCTGGAATTTCGGTTCAGCAGCTCAACAGTGTGTTTGATGTCTGTGGGGTTTTTTTTGTGATTTACCTGCTTGAACTTCGTCCAAAATATCGTCTGAGTTGTGCTGAGTGAGAGCGGAGAGAGAAACCAGACGACTCAGCTGGGTTTTAAATCGCAGCTTGACTCAGCTCTTATGCCACAGGACACGAGGCAGATGTGTGTGTGTGTGTGTGTGTGTGTGTGTGTGTGTGTGTGTATGTGTGTGTGTGTGTCCAGTCGAAGACATCCTCCCCACCCTGAGGCTCAGTTGTGTCTTCCTGTCCTGGTCTAACCTTGGACCGGCGTCTTCTTCGCCTCTGCTGCTGCTCCTGGCTTCCCATCAGCTATTCATAGCTTCACTTGTACTCTGGCTTCACTGCAGATCCGTCAGAGTAAAATGCCACACTTGGCCGGATGGCGTAAATAAAACAGGCCTGCTGGTCGAGAGCATCTCTGGAGGAAATGACAAATCACTTTAGATCATAAACAACGGAGCGGTGGCATTACTAGAACAGTGTGCTGGTTTTCTCAGGGACCGGCCCTCGTCTCAATACGTCTCCGTGGTTAGTTTTAATGTCACTGCAGCGCTGCACTTAAAGTCCTAGTTAGACAGATGAATCATTCCCTTTCTTTCTATTTACTATCTGGTGGCTGGAGGCTGCAGGTACTCACATCCCAGGAGACACGTCACTGACTCCACACGATGCTGTCACACTCTGAGAGGCTCCAGCTGCTGGCTGACGAGCTCGTGGGCACTGGTGGCACTTTGTGCGGTTGTCGTGACTGCAGCGACAGTTTGTCTCCTATTTAATTTGATTAGTGCAATTAATTAATAAATATGTTTGATGTCCCTCAAGCACAAAATACATGTGCACGAAAACTAGTTGGTATTTAATATGGACCTTTATATATACGGGACCTGTGTTACACTCCACAAATATTCAACAGGAACTGATCACTGATTTATTCTGATATTCACATACTTGTTTTTTAATTAATCACTTTACACGATGAATGAATGAAATGATTACTCGTATTATTTGAGAGTGTGGATCACCTCTCAACACAAAATAGGAAATTAAATATTAGAAAGTTAATTGTTAAATCTCAATTTAGATGTTTTTGCAGCAGATTTTCACAGACATGAACCATGTGATTATCTTTATGGTGAGAATGTTTATAAAAACACAAACTCTTTATTTTCCTGTCTTTCGAAGAGCTGCAGGACGACGATGGGTAAACAATGAGCAGACTGTGGGCTGCGTGTGCTGCTCAGCAAATGAAGAGAGAAACTTTGACTGCATCAGTCAGGAATGGCCCAGAGTGGTGCATCCAACCTTGGTTTATCGCCCACATCGGTGTGACCATGTCGACTTAATTGAGTGAGGAGAAGGCGTGTGTGCACGGAGCTGATGTCAGACACCCTCCGTCTCCAGGCTGAAACTAACTGTTGTGAAGAGGTGGAGCGTGTGGAGGGAGATAAAGAAAGGAGATGAGAGGAGACAAAGAAACTCTGGGATCCACCGAATCAAACGCACCTTTAGTCTTCAAACTAAAAGATTACGAGCCCTGCTCATTGGCTTCAGGATTGTTGTTGCTGTGGACTAACATATTTCTCGGGGGGCCCTCGGGAACTGCCTGCTTTGCCTGCCCTGTAGGAAGGCCCCCCCTGACAGGAGCACACGCATGCATCATCTGCACTGCTCATCCTCTGAGGGAGGCAGGAGGTCTAATCCCGGCTGACTCTGGGTGAGAGGCGGACGTTCAGAGACAAACAACCAGTCACACTCAGAGTCCCACCCACAGGGAATTAATAGTCTCTGATCAACCTGCATGTGTTTGGACTGTGGGAGGACGCTGGACCAAGAGAAAACCCACAGAGACATGAGCAGATCATGATAACTCCACACACGAGGACCATGGTCAGCCGCCTGGTTCCAACCCAGTTGTTGGAAATTTTCATTACAACTTAAAAGAGACAAACGCTGTCTCCCAGATGGAGGTACTCTAAATATTTACTTAAAAAATAAAGTCATATGTGCGATAAGGAATCATCAGCGAACAGCAGGGTTCCACATGAAGTTTGAAAGTGTCACTAATTCAAATCTGCTGCTGCTGGACCTTCTGCAGAAACATGCTGTGAAATCTGTCTCTTTAAACATGTCTCTCTTCCGCATCCCTGGTCAGAAATGCTAAAACCCCCCTCAAGCATGTCGCCTTTGCTCTGCTCACCCCCGACCACTAAATGTGCAGCGAGCAAAGAGCATCACCCACAAGCACCGGGGTGGTTGGCCTCTGTAATCAGGAGGAATGAACTTTAATGGTGGAGCGCTGAAGCGTTTTGTAATCGTGACCTTTGGCTATCCACAGCCCACATATGCTCCAGTGGCCTGCAGAGACAGGAGGGGGGGGGGGCATTCAGGTGCCACCAGGAGGATTTCTGTAAGAGGCTCAGCAAGTGGAAGACCCCGTCTCCGTGAGTTTGTCGAGCCACGTTATTTGCTTTATGTTAGTTTCATTCCTTAAAAGATTTCTGGAGGTAAAATGCTCCTCTGCTCGCATTGAAATTTGCAGTTATCAGAGGAAAAGCTGTGTTTCCTGTGAATTAGACGTGTTCCTGAATGCATCGTGGTGAAGATGATGTCTTTGTTAAGTTCCTGAGAAGCTGCCAGTTTGGAGAAATGAGCTTTTCCAGCCAGCGCTGCCTGTATGGGATTCGACACGGTTTAGATTGAATAGAAAAGCGGGACTTTTCTTCCTGCTCCTCTGAAAATGGGCCAAACAGGAGAACGCTTAGCAGAGCGCTCGATTTCCAAACAAGAAGAATCCCTCCTTCTTCTGTGTGTCTCTTTGTCGCAGTGATATTGTTTGAATGCGTTTTTATAAAGATCACATGTTGAATATGCACACAGAGGAAAAGGAAGCACGCTGCAGTGGTTAATGAGGCAGGTTTGTGGAGGACAATGATTTCCTGTCGTGCTGAAGTGCTGTTGAGCCCCGCCTCCTATAAACTGCAGGAACAAACAATGCCAGCTGTTATTTTATTTCTGGGTAATTTGGTAGTTTATATTCAGATGAATTATTCACCATCTTAGATATCGCACAGAGTTAGATGAGAAGACGGACTCCGCTCTCATGTTGTTTTATATAACGCTGAGCAGCAGCTGGTTTTATCTGCAGGACTTGTTAACCCAGCTGCAGCTTCTGTTTTCCGGCTGACCTCTGACCTCACACTTCTCCCTCAGGGATCGATAAAGAATAAATCACATTTTTGTCGTGTCCCTTAAGGCCGTCGCTCAAAAATGAGCTAATTTCCTCCGAGCACAAGTGACACATGCAGTCGTTTGGGAGTAAATCATATAAGACTTGATTAATCTAATGGAAATATCCAGATCCTATGTATTCTGCTTTGTATTTGTTTTTCCCTGCGCTTATTCTCACCTCATGCATCTGAGAGTAGTTTAAAGAAATGAAATGGAAATCGCCACCACATTTCCAGGTTGTGAGAAATCCCTCGGACTTGTGTTTGTATATTCGCAGGAGAACAATTGTTACCTCAGCCAACGACGTCATCTTTTTGTCCGTCAGTTTGCAGGATTACACAAAAACTATACTGAGCAGATTATCAGGATCAGTTGGTCGGAGACGAACCCATTTATTTTCACATCCAGAGTGAAAAATGTAGAAATAAAAGAAAATGATCACAGATATTTATGGCGCCAAGAGGATCAAACCATAACGACCCCCTGATTTTCATTTCATCTCACCAGCAGGTCAAAGTTTTTATAACCAGAGAAAATGTCTCATCGAATTCTAAGAACCCTAATTCTATTTTTATACATTCATGCTTCCCAAAGGATGAACCATAATGACTTTATACCAGTGGGTCAAAGATGTATATCCAGGCAAATCATCTTCTAAATGTACTGACTCTAAATGTTATTTATTACATGTCATCTTCTTGTTTATATTTGTTTCTTAGTGATGTGTCTCAACAAGACAGATTCATGTTCCCCTGAGGATGAATTTAACTCACTTAATTGCTCCCTCAACTTTCCATCAACTAATTGGATGACCAATTAAGTATGATGGATTCCTCACGACCCACAAAGTTGCTGCTGATTATTAATGTCTCATAACGAGTGAACCGGTTATTAATCAGGTATTGGTTTGTCTGCACACAAAGAGAGAAAGTAGTGCTGTAATCTGGAATGTCCCTGCTCACTCCGCCGCCTCCTGCCTCTCGTCTGATTAATGTGCATGTGCCGGGGAACACTGAGGCTGCGGCTCGGTAACAAGCACCGGGGTCTGATGCGCTCTGCCGGGGCTCAGTCCGTGGGAGGGAGGGGTCGGCCGGAGCTTCCTCTCTAATTGGCCAGGGAGCAGCAGCAGCAGCAGCAGCAGCCGGGGATGCGAGCGGCCACAGACGGAGGTACAGCCAACTCAGCAAAGCGCGTTTTGTTGCTTAATAAGCCATTATTGAAACGCATTAGGTGGAATTGGATCCATTAGCGCACCTCATGCTTTACTAAGTGTTTTTTGGGGGGGAAAGCTATTATGGAGAGAGCGCAGGAGCCAGAGAGGGCAAAAGATGAAGTGTCAATGAGTGAGGGTATTTCATTGTGTTTGCATTGTGGCTTTGCGGGATTCATTTAAGACCTGCGTGCGTAATTGTACTTTAAATGAAATGCTTGCGGTGCAGCCAGGAGAGAACGATGCGTAGATTCGATTTTCTTTGTGCAGATACTTCGGGTGCAGGTTTGAAGTGTTGTGCATTGACAAAGAAAGCAAAAACCTAAAGTTGCGGACTCATATTCAGGCTTCTGCGTTTCTGCTCTGCGTGTTTTTTTTGTTTTTTTGCAGACAGGAGCGGACGTATGGGCTTGAGAGACCCATGTTCAAATGGCTGATCTGGAACTGTTTAAGTTTGAAGGACCCGATCCGAGAGACGCGTCCGTGGGGTTGAGTTATAAGCAACGTGTCCTGGAGGTCTGCAGCGGCGGAGGAGAGACGCTCGATCCCGGCGGAGGAGAGGGTCCATGGACAGAGCTCCAGAGCGCAGCGCGTCCGGAGGAGGAAACAGAGACATCCTTCACGTGCAAACACGGAGGTGATGGAGACACTGTCCAGCTGAGAGGGACTCAATCCTGCACACAGACTCACTGCTCCTCACTGTACGAGGAGGAGGAGGAGGAGGTGATGGAGGAGGAGGAAGAGGAGGAGGAGGACATCCCGGAACTTTTCTTGCTGTCCGACGACGACCTCTCCTCCGAGGGCTCGGGGAAGTCGGTGGATTACGGCTTCATCACCGCCGTCACCTGCCTGGTGACCGGCATCTCTCTGGTCGCCATTTCCTACACGGTGCCCAGGGACGTGCGCGTGGACCCGGACACCGTGTCCGCCCGGGAGATGGAGCGCCTGGAGCGGGAGAAATCCCGGGTCGGGGCCCACCTGGACCGGTGCGTCATAGCCGGACTGTGCCTGCTCACGCTCGGGGGCGTGCTGCTCTCCACCCTGCTCATGGTCTCCATGTGGAAGGGGGAGATGATGCGGAGGAAAGCCTTCGCCTACTCCAAACACGCAGCCAACTTGTACGGATCCATCAGCTTGAGAGCAGCGTCCAGTCCGACTCGGGACTCCTGCTCACGTCTGTCAGCGGCTGATGAGGATCTAGAAGTGCTCAGCTGAATTTATGGACCTGACAGGAGGTGCAGACTCTGAAAACCTCCCCAGTGCTGCCCCTTCACCCGGGACGTGGTGGAGGTTTACTGTCTTTTTATTCATGACAGCTGAGGAAACTTCTTTCTGGCTGATCTTTGTTATGAGTTCACATTTTTTCCAAGTCAGCCCTCACATGCACTTCTGAGTTCTTGGTCGTTGGAATGGTTCCTTCTGTCTGTGCAGAGACAAGACAAGATACGATGAGACAAGATAAGACAATACTTTATTAATCCTGACTCCCAGTTTGCTCCAAGATTATAGTATCACAATATATTTTGGAGTACACTGAGTAACACAATACAGTATTATGTCACAAAATAAGTGAAAATTAAAGTCTAAAGTGTATATAGAGTAATTCAGAACTTAGCACCTAATAGAAATAACAGAAATGAGAATTAAATAAGTATACTACTAAACAAAAGTAATGATTTTGAATATTGCAAATGATAATTGGAGGGAAATGTGATATTACACTCATGACAATAGTAATATTACACATTAAAAAACATAGTAATGTTGTACCTCTGTAGTCTGCAGTTATTTCCAAGAGTCTGATTATTCACCCTGCAGAAGGAGGATGAGTTGAATCTGAGTTATTAGATATAAAATCCAGAATTTAGGCTCAAGCTGAAGATTCATCAGAGTTCAGACCGAACACAGATCACAGTGTAAAATCAGCTCTCAGATCAGTTTGAGTAAGAGATTCTTACATTTGAAGAATCGTGAGCCAAACAGCTGCACAGATGTTTCATAACACTCCCAGATGGGATTTCACGTCCCTGGTTATCGTGGCAGTAATCACTTTATCTTTCGCAGCAGATCCTGCAGCTTTGGCATCTTTGTTTTGTCCTCATTCAAATGAACCTTTTCTCTTTTTCCATGCAGGACTAAAGTTGGTCTGAGTGAGGCCTCAAATCTGAAATCTGAAAGTTAAAATCTTTTTTAGTTGAGAGTTCCCTCCTCATGTTGACATCTCACCACCACCAACTGATAAAAACATCTGCTTTATTTATTTAAGAAATTCTAAATGGTCGGTTTTTATGTAGTTTCTATAGGCTTGGTTTCTAGCTCTTTACAGTTCTGCCATTCACCCATTCACACAAACACACACACACACCTTCTGTACGTGGAACGGGATTGAACAGTCGACATTCTGGTTGGTGGACAACCCACTCTGCCTCCCGAGCCCTGAAAGCAGCCTACAGTATAAAGTACTTGATTTTCTTGTGTTCTAAAACTTCATATGTAAGTAAAGTCAAGTTACTTTTCCACCTCTTTCTCGTCAAGTGTTTGATTTATTTTACAGTTTCAAATGTTTATTTTGAAATAAAACCCGAGGAAACACAGAGAGACTCGATCTTAAAGACAGAGACCGTGAAAGCAAAGCATTGATGGTTAAAATGTCTTTGTCTAACACAGAACAAACAGTGAGGAATGATCCTGCTTCTAGATTTAGACCAGGATGGAGGAAGCAGAAGCTTTGACGTGTGTGTTATCAGAATTATATAAATGTAGCCTTGAAAAAAATGTGAACCAATCAGAACGGGTCGTGCATCGAATGTTTGTTTCATTAAAGGTAAAATATGAAATGTGCTTTTCTGAAATGTGAATCAATCGCTGTTGATGATACGATGACCTCTGACCCAGCGTTTTGTTCACCACAGCATCACAGCCTCTAATGACGCTGCAATCGGTGACTTCATGTTCTGGAAGGAAGCTCAGAGTTGAACCGGTGGCTGCAGAAACAGTTCTGGTTTCCACCTCATCAGAAGCAAAGCAAATCCACTGAATTGCTGCTTGTACGTATCCGTGCAGATAAAACATTAAATGCATGAATCCACGTTGAACCCCAAAGACATTCTGTTCAATACGATTGTGACAAGTGTTGCTCGTGTTTGCTCAGATTTCTCCAAAAGCAAATAATAATACCACAGGAGGTGTAATTAGATTTTGTGGTTGAGTGCCAGCGTATAGAGGAGGCTCGGTTTGAATAAACTCGGGGGGGTTCGACTGCAGATGTTCGCACAGAGAGAGAGAAAGTCAACGAACCCCTGGAGGAACGCTCTCCTGGTAATTGGTGTTACTTAATTGCTCATGGGAGGCCTGTGAATCAGCGAGGCGGAAAAAAAGAACAGGAACGACTGACTCAAGCGAACCTTCCTGGCTGCGGTGTCGGAGAGAAGTGTTGCAGCAACATCCACAGGGAGGGGATGGATCTCCTGCTCCGACAGAAGACGTGTGAGTCAACACTCGTGTCTCTTTGTGTCCGGCAGGATCATTATCCTCCACGTGACCTCGGCTCGCTCTCAACTCGTTAACGTGATTTTAAAATGGTGGAATCCGACGACCTCTCGATGAAACATTACCTTCACCTCTCGTGCTAATCCGTCCTCACTCAGAGTAACAGCTCACATCTGGATGGTGTTTCTCTTTGCTCACCTCTTTCTCTCTCTCTCTCCCTCTCCTCGGCCTGACTCATCTGCTTTAGTTGCTGATTTCTTACTTTTCCCTGATTGACTTTTTTTCGACAGTCGCCGGAGGAACAGCTGCGAGCTTGTTGAGTCAACCGACCGAGCGGTACAGTTAAAGCAAAGTGAGTGGGTTTCCACAAACATGAAGGTCGTCTTTCTGAATCAAAACAAAACCGAGTGTGCTCTGGACCATTGAGGCTTCATGTCTGCAGAGATATCAGCCTTTCCATCGCTCGCTCGGTACAATGGATTTCTCCCTGTTGACATTTATTCAAAATGATTCGGTCCACAGAGACGATGTTGCTCCTCATTTCCGAGCTGCCGACGTCAGTACTTGACATTTGCTGCTGAAGTGTTAGATACTTGAAGAGTTGTCTGTTACCGTGCTGGAAATGTCTAACTCTGACATCCCATCATCCGTGTAGAGGAGAATTAAATGGCCCTGGAAATAAAAGGAGCTTCAGCGACCATTGATTATAAAAAGGTTTTAAAGCAGAAAGCTCAGTTTAGCGGCAGCAGCAGTCATCTGTTCAACCTCAGCTTGTTGTGCTGTCGGGTGATTTTTGTTTGTCAGATTGAAAAGTAAGATCACATTGGAGACTTTTGGAATCTTCTTCTTAAAAATGATTTGAATGAGACACATTCTGCTCATATTCAGGTTCATCAGTGATTTGTGTTATAACTTGAAAATGTTTACGCGCTCTGATGTTCAGAAAACTTTGTTTTCAGCCTCTGTCTGAAACACACTGTCTCTCTGAGACAACTCCTCCACTTTTTACATTTGCAGAACTTTTACAGTCACCAATATTTACAGGAGGAAAGAAAAACTGAAAAAGCATTGTGAGTATTGGAGTATTCTTGATTTCTGGGAGTTGGGCAGGTATTTTGATGTCTGACTGTGTGGTTTTGATCAGGTGGCAAACAATCCGACAACTGCCACCAGGATTCGAAATGATGTGCGACACACCTTCAAACTGATCAAACACGAGGAGATCATCTGTGTTTTCATGTCAGGCCCCGTCGTTTGGATGCGATTGAGGAAATAACTGAGGTGAAGACGAGGAGGGTTGAAGCTGCTCGTCTCCACAGGCACATCATTAGTGATGTTAAGGCCCGGGGACGCTGCAGCAGCTTTAATTAGTGTCTCTGGGTTTGTTTCACCAGGGAACTCCGCTGGACACAAAATCAAACCTGTGGTTAAAAAACGAGGGACACACACACACACACACACACACACTCTATGAAAATATGTGCCTGTTGCAAAAACTGACAGACTGTTGGAGAAACCCTTTCAATTGGCACACAAACGTACACACACACACACAAAC